CCAGCCCAGCGTTTCTCATTATGTACTCTGCATATAAGTTAAACAAGCAGGGTGACAATATACAGCCTTGACGTACTCCTTTTCCTATTTGGAACCAGTCTGTTATTATAGGCGACTGGAATGCAAAAAAAAAAAAAAAAATCAGGCAGTGGGTGATTTCAAATGTGTGTTTCCCTCTTCCTCCTAAAAGCAGGTGAGAGAAGACTTCCAAAGGGCTAAGTGTCATGTGAGGACGTGAAAATAATAAACGTCTAGGAACATCATGATGCAGCACAAACTCCTCAGCACCGGCCAGCTGGACTTTGCCATGGTGGACATGTCCTCTACCTGCCCTGTCCAATATAGTAGCCACTGACCACTCCTGAAATGTGGCTGCCACTCCAGAGAAACTGCATGCATCATTCTATTTGCTTTAATCAGTTTAGTTAAACAGTCATATGTAGCCAGTGGCTCCCGCCTTGAACAGGGCAGGTTTGGACGGTTCCCCTCTCGGTGCTGTGACTTCTCTCCCTTTTAGTCCAAGTTGTTACTCTCACCAAAGCAGCCATGAAAACAGCACATCTTCCCAGCATGGTCCCTTGTCACGGAAGCCCTTCAGTTCAGTTCAGTTCAGTCGCTCAGTCGTGCCCGACTCTTTTGTGACCCCATGGACTGCAACACGCCAGGCTTCCCTATCCATCACCAACTCCCAGAGCTTGCTCAAACTCATGTCCATTGAGTCGGTGATGCCATCCAACCATTTCATCCTCTGTCGTCCCCTTCTCCTCCTGCCTTCAATCTTTCCCAGCATCAGGGTATTTTCCAATGAGTCAGTTCTTTCCATCAGGTGGCCAAAGTATTGAGCTTCAGTTTCAGCATCAGTCCTTCCAATGAATATTCATACCTGCCAACTGGCACAAACCCTGTGAGAGAAGGGGGCTTCCCAGGTGGTGCAGTGGTAAAGAATCTGCCAGTCAATGCAGGAGACACAAGAGATGTGGGTTTGATCCCTGGGTTGGGAAGAACCCCAGGAGGAGAAAATGGCAACCCACTTCAGTGTTCTTGCCTGGGAAATCACATGGAGAGAAGACCTTGGTGGGCTACAGTCCAAAGGATCACAAAGAGTCGGGCATGACAACACACACTGGGAGAGATGGAGAAGGGAGTTCTCAGAGCAGGAGAGAAAAAAGTGGCCCAGAGAGGAAAAATAACTTTGCCAAGGTCTCCTCGCGTCTGCGGGGCCAAACGGAACAGAGTACTCTGCTCTCAAGAGGGTGGCCCTGCCAGGTACTCTGAGCTATAAGATACAAACATTTGCCACCAACAAACAAACATATATATTAAGCATCAGTCATGTGCAAACAGCCTGTGCCTGCTTTAGGGACACAGCATTAGAGTCAATAGATGGGACCCTTTCTGCTCCCTCTGCAGTTTCCTACCCAGCAAGCATGTCATAGGCACCCAGGTGCTAGGGTTGGAGGGCTAGTGCTTTGGAGTCAAAGGCACAGGTCAAAAGACCTTGATTCTCCAGCATCTTATTCTTATGAGGTACTCTGCACTAGGAAAAAAATAAGAAAGAAAAGTTCCCACTAATGAGTATGTTTTGGAATCATTGCAAACAATATTTCTCCTCCTGAAGACTGACAAATGTTCATCAGCATTTTCAGGAAGTGGGCAGAAAGGAGGGAGGCAGTCAGGGAGTGGACTGGGTTTTGGATTGGCTTGCCTCACTTGTAAATCCTTGCTCGCTCCACTTACCAGCTGGGTAACTTGGCAAGAGCCTTTCTGAGCCTCAGTTTGTGCATCAGTAAAACGGGGATAGTGGGGACAATGCATCTTATTTTGGACAGGGCATGAGTCTGCGTCCGGACTAGGGTGATCCTCCGTGACTGATGGTTTCCTTTTTCTTCACCTGGCAGGAATATGGAGGACAGGGAGGGGAGGCTGACCGGGGATTACCTGCCTGGCCAGCCTGGACAGAACTTGGTCACCAGATAAAGAAGTAAGTAACTGTCACCAGGCTCCCAGCAGAGCATGCAACACACTTGATGGTGGAACCAAAGGCAGGACACGCACTCTGCCCTGAGTCCCCCAGCTCCTCATTTCCCCCTCAGACTGCCTATCCCAGCTTGGCGTCCTCCATGCAAGCACAAGTCAGCTTCAGGTGGGGACTGGAGCCAGCACTCAGGAAGGACTGACGGGCCTGCGCACTGGTCCATGGGCCAGAACCCACCACCGCCCAAGTCAAGGCCCGTAGGCCTTGGATGTCCCCCGAGGAGTGGCGAGTAAGTTACCCAAGGGCCCTCTGCTGCCCATGGAGGAAGCGACCTCCTGGAGCCACCCAGGGAGAGCCCGCTCAGTCAGCATTGACACAGTTTTCTATGTTCTTTCTAGTAGAAGCAAAATCAAAATGTAACATCTGCTTCCCCGAGGCCACATCTTTGGATGACAAATCAAAGACCCAGGCTGAGTCCTGGCTCTGTGACCTTCCTGCCTTGGACAAGTCGCCTCCTTTCAAGTCCTGCATACTGGCTCAGAGCCTCTAGGAAAGCGAATTCAGCCGTCCAAGCCTGTTTCCTCTTCAGGAAAATGGGGGTGAAAAACCTCTTATACTTGGGTAGTACTGCACTTATAGCATGTATTCCCTAGACCAGTGGTTCTCAAAGTGGGGTCCGTGGGTCAGCAGCAGCACCTGGGTATGTGCTAGAAACGCAGATTCTCGGATCCTGCCCCAGATCTACTGAATCATACTTCTGGGAATGGGGCCCAGCAATTTGTGAATTTTAACGAGACCTCCAGGGCTTTCTGGCACTCACGATTTCAAGGCACTGCATTAACTGGTAGCTGTCTGGGGGTTATCAACAGTCCCAAAACCCCTTCCAGCTCCCAGTCTGACTGTGGCCTTAGCCAGCCAGACCTGGGGAGAGTCCTGGTGCCTCTACTCCAAGCTGCTGACCTCGGGCAAGCTGCTTGCTCTGAGCCTCAGTTTTCTCATCTTTGAAATGGGCGTAACACATGTCCGGCAGTTTGTCATAAGGCAGCAGACGCAATTATCTCAGTGCCTGGAACATCACAAGAGCTCAGGAACTGGTGGGTCTATTACTGCTGCCGGTTTCCCTCTTAAGCAGGTACAAGGGATTTTTGTTCCCAAAAGGCTAAAGTTCCTCTGACATGAATTCCCAGCCACCCTGCCATCATCCCCCCAGTGATGTTCCCCTGAGGAGTGGTGAGTAAGTTACCCAAGGGCCCTCTGCTACCCACAAGGCTTTCCACATCCGAACAAGGAAGAGGATTTCAATCACCCAGGATTACAAAGGAGGACCTCAGATGCACCATATGGCCTGGGCCTTGCCGCCCTGATGCTCTGCCTGATCGAAGGCTCTTGTGTGAGATATTAACATAATATCCCCTCCAAAAGCGATTACAGAGTTGCAGGCAGCAGAATGTCGTTTGGTAGCCGCAGCCCGCGCTCATCAGCAGCGATGACTAAACAAGCTAATCAAATCAGTACAAATTTGCACATGGGCCTGGCAGCTGGGCCTGAAATCGCCGAGGCGAAGGCATAGTCCTGCCGGAGGATGACTTGACTAATGGGCTCCCGGTGGGCAGCCAGGCCTTGGTGGGCTGCCTGGCCAATCTGCCTGGTGAGGGCGGCTGCACCCACAGGCAGCTGGAGTCAGGGTTCCGGAAGAGGCAGAGGCTGGGTTAGCAATCAGCAAAAAGATGGGGAGGAGCAGGAGGAGCGGGGGGACCTTGCACCAGCCCCTCCAGCCTCGCCATGTTCTGTGGCGCGTGTGTGGAGAGAAGGACAGACACAATGGCTGCCACATGCAATATGAGTGTGGGCTCCAGAGGCTGCTGTGGTTCAACTTTCAGTTCTGTCACTTGCTGTGTGTCCTTCAGCAAGATGCTTAACATCTCCAAGCTCCAAGTCCTCACTCATAAAATGGGGATACCCAGTGAGTGTTCAATAAACAATGATTGCTGTTGTTGTTAAATTGCTCACAAACTTCACATGGGCCTTCAGCGTGCCAGGCCCCAGGCTCTGAGAACGCCAAGGTAAGGAGGGCACTGTCCTTCCTTCAAGGACCACATCATGTAACGGGGGCTCCGGATGAGTAAGCAGAGGGTTGACAGAGGAGAGAACAGACAGCCGAGAGCAGTGACCTGGGGAGTCACCCGAGAGGAGAGAAACTACAGCTGAGTTGGGGAGGGTGGGTTGAAGTTATGCAGCAGGGAGACGGCAGAGGTAGAACCTGGAAGCCAGGAGCATGGGCGTCTGGCCAGGCAGCCGGAGTCCCCGGAGCAGCAGGCAGTCTGCCCGGCGGGGGTGCGGTTCCCAGGTCAGAGACCGAGCTCAGAAGGTGGAGCCACGTCTCAGGAGGCTGGGACACAGGCACACATGCTACTGGAGAACTTCATCCGCCACCTCGTGGCTCCCAGGACGCTGCTCCGTCCCTGGGATTCTCCAGGCAAGCATACTGGAGTGGGCTGCCATTTCCTTCTCCAGGGCATCTTCCTGACCCAGGGAGCAAACCCACACATCTCTGCCATCTCCTGCATTAGCAGGCAGGTTCTTTACCACTAGTGCCACCTAGAAGCAGTCCATGGGGTCACAAAGCGTTGGACACGACTGAGGACTAACACAATAGAGGAAGCAGCAGGAGAGAAAAGTGGTTGGAAGGTGCCGGCTCATCCGGCCTCGCCGGGAGCCTCTGGGCAAGACCCTTCCCGTCGGACTCCCGCGTGGGAGGGTCCCGGCTCTGTGCCTTCCACCCCCAGTCACCCCCCTTCTACTTCACAAGTTACCCCAGCCACGGAAGCCAGCATGATCACTGACTTGATACTTGTCTCAAAACAGAGGCGCCCCTATTTAAAAATCACTCATTTCTAAAGGAAATATTTTTAAATTGCTCATTTAAACAAAAACTTTGTAACAATGCCCTAACTGCAGAGCCAGTATTACTTGCCACTGATAGAAGATAGCTGTGAACAAAACAAGGTGATACACCGCTAGTCAGATGCTGGCGCTTCCTGAAGACTCCGGGCCTCCGGTCTGCAGTGAAGGGGTGGAGGAGGTGAGCAGGTGTTCTGGGAGGTGTTTAAGACACCCCAGCACCTAGGTGCGACTCTCTGCAGAACCGTAAGGGTTGGAAGAGACCTGAAGAGGGAACGCAAGCCTCTCTGGGTAATTCAGTGTCACTGAGCCCCAGGTGTGTGGACCACCTCCGTGTTCTTGCAGACCACAGGTTGCTCTGCTCTTGGGGACATGCTGGCCCCGATCGCCTTGAGCACCATTTCCAGTTGTAAACTCTTCACTGCTGTGAGTGTACCAGCGCCACAGAACAAGCAGGAGTGACCGGGCATGACGCGCCAGCCCACGCCCTGTCCGCAGACCCCAGGACGCTCCTGGGAGGGGCTGTGCCCGCTGGCGCCCCGAGCGGCTCAGCAGCAGAAGCCCCCCGCCTTTGAAGGATGGCCACGCTCGGCGTGCTCCGCTCAGGTTCCTTTTCAGAACGCTCTCGGGGAAGGCCATCTACGTTCCCTCCCGTGGGCCCACTTCACAGACCCCCGTGCCCATGCCTCCCTTTGCCCACGGGTCCAGCCCCACCCCCACCCTCAACTCCGCTCCCGTGGCCTGACCCCACGTCCGGAACGGAGTCCAAGCCCCGGGCGCCCGGCGGCTCTGACCGCGCCTGCAGCCGCGCACTGCCTTCCTCCTGACTCCTGCTCCGCCCCCCTCAGAACACCTGGCTTCAAACGCTCGCTCTGCCGCTTGCCTTCTGGATAGCACACCTCACCCCTCTGCACTCAGGGTCCTCTTCTGCAGTTACATAACCGACCTCATGGGGTTGTGTCAAGAGTCAAATGAAACAGTGTTGACCACACAACAAATCACTATTCAACCGACCGAACAGATGAATGAATGAAACCAGCTGGCCTGTGGTTGAGAACTGAACCAGATGTCACACCCAGACACCTGGGTTCCAGTCCCAGTCCAGAGCTAGCCAACTGTATAACGCTGGGCAAGTCATTTTGCCCCACTGGGCCTCAGTTTCCCCATCTGTCAGCAAAAAGATGGGACTTGAGTTTCTGCAGAGGTTGCTTTCAATGTTAACTGGTAAGCCGTGTGATTTGGTCTATGAGGCCAGGAAGGAGGAGAGTCTGCAAGCCCTTGGTTTACATGAAGCAGAGTCTGCACCTGTAGTTTCTCCAGCAGTAGGCCATGGAGCCAGGAAGGCGGTTAGCTGAATGGGTAGGAAAAATCCCTCTTTTGCCGCAGAGTCGGCATAGAGTATAACAATGCAGCTAAAAATAAAAACCCTGCCGTGTCCTAGCTGTGGACAATCTTAAGAAAGTCATGTGAGCTGTGAGCCTCAGTTTTCCTCATCAGTAAAATGGGGATAAATTTCCCACTCTCTGTGGCATTTTAGGAGACTCAAATGAGAATACTGATTCTTACTACTTGCTGGTTCCTGCTACTTACATGTAACAATCTCTTAAGGAGTGATAGTGTCCTTATTTTTTACATTTTTAATTATTGTTACCCTGGTACCAACAGTCATCACATAGAATACAAAGGCTTAAAAGTAAAGGCGGGAAGTGAAGTCACAGGAGTTTGGGGGTGCTTGGTTCTTCAGCCCCTCACAATACACCTGGGACAGCCAAACCTGGAGGGGCACAGAAGGGTGGCAGGGGGACCTCAGCTGAAAGAGGAGGCAAGGCTCAGGGATGGAGGGGGGTCCTGTGACCCCTCCTCAGCCCAGCTGCGCACACACTTCCCTGGGACCCTGGAGGCTGGTATAGAAGCCAGACACCCAGCCCCATCCACACATCCATGACTTCTCCAAGGCCCATGCCACAACCTTACTAACAGAAACAAAGAGTACCAGGCACACGTGTGTGTTTGTGAGCACACAGCGGAGTGGCTACCGAGGCTGGACACGAAACAGGCCCTGAGTCTAAGTCCTGGTCCCAGCACCCACGAGCTTCGTGACCGGTGCAAACACATCCATCCTCTGGGTCTCAGTTTCCTCCTCTGATTGATGAGGACAGCGTGGGGAGGGTGACGAGACATCACGCAGGGAACCCATGAGCATGGTGCTGGTTCATAGGGCACGCTCCTTTGATCCTGATTGTTCTGTTTTGCTTTAAAGGATGGCAGTGCATTTCCCTTTAAGCCAATGCGAATGACGAAAGGCGAAAATCGGGAAGGGCAAGCTGGCCTTGAAACCAGCCCCTTGGCTCTCTGTGAATTCCATCATGTGAAACGGATTTCAGACAGGGGATCTCTACCCTGGCTGCACACTCAGATCTCCTGGAGAGCTCTGAGGAATCCTACACTGGGGCCACACCCCAGGCCAACTGGTTCAGACTCACGGGGGCGGCAGCTGTTGCAGGATGATTTAAAGCCCCCCCCCCCCCCCCGAGTGCACCCACCCTGGGGCCAGGCTTGAGAACCAGGAGCTTAAATCAGAAGGACAAGCTTAGGAGTGAGACTGGCCTGCGCTGGAATCCTGGCTCTGGAACTTCCATGTGACACTCAACTCAGTGCACAGTCCTGAGCTGATCATTTGTCTAAAATCAGCAATAACAACACAACCTCGCAAGGGTGGCATGGAGATTTCACTGAGACAGCAGGACTCACTAGGTACTCGAGCTGGTCACCCTATGAGTCCTTCCAATAAATTTGAACTCACAATATAACATTAGGGAAAAGCAAATTTAGCCACAAGTATTTGAGACCATAACATTTACTTACGTATTTATTTACTTTGCTTTGCTGTTTGGAGTCTGTTAAACCCCACCCTGTCTGAGGAAAGACGTGAGACTCCCAGGTGTGTGTGCAGTACAAGTATTGTGGTTGTTCAGTTATTCAGAGGAGCGTCCTTCTCCAACAAACATGAATGCTTTCCCAGCTTGGATTTTTTTTTAATTGGAGTATACTTGCTTTACAGTTTTGTGTTAGTCCCTGCTGTGAATCAGCTATATGTATACATATATCCGGGGCTTCCCAGGTGGCTCAGTGGGTAAATAATCCGCCTGCAATGTAGGAGACGCAGGCAACTTGGGCTCCATCCCTGGGTTGGGGAGATCCTCTGGAGGAGGGCATGGCAACCCACTCCAGGATTCTCACCGGGAGAATCCCATGGACAGAGGAGCCTGGGGGGTTACAGTCCATGGGGTCGTAAACAGTCAGACATGACTGAGCGACTGAACATGCACGCACGCACACATGTATGCCCTCCCTCTGGAGCCTCCCGCCCAGCCCACCGCATCCCACCCCTCGAGGTCGTCACAGAGCACGGCTGAGCTCCCCGTGCAATGCAGCAGCTTCCCTCTAGCTGATTACTTAAGAATACACATGGTAGTGTAGATATGTCAACCTCAACCTCCCAGTCACCCCACCCTCCCGTCCCCCACTGTGCCTACGTGTTTATTTGGCTTTCACGGCTTTCTTCCTAGGAAGGAATCTGGGAGCCACTAGAGGTTGCTGGGAGCTAATAAAGTCGGACAGGGTGGATGCTCCCTTCCCCTTCACAGAAGGGCCCTCGCCCCCACTGGCTGTTTGCCTGCTCTTGGAGGAAGTTGCTTTGGGACCCTGCAAACCTGCCCTGACTACAGAGGGGACCATCCTCCACTGATGCATGGTGCAGGGGGTGGGGGGGTAGAATGTTCCAGAAAGGCCAGAGGGTAGAGGAGAAGTCAGGAAAGCTGGTGTCAGGCTCGTGGAGCCCACTGGCTGCGTGGCTTTGAGCCACTCCTCCCTTCCACCTCTTGAGCCCTGGTGTCCTCTGTACCGTGGTTGTCTCCAGGGCTACAGACAGACCTCCCCTACTTCTCACGCGGTTTCGAGGAGAGGCACTGTGGCAGAGCACCGGCTGTTTCCTGGGGCTGCTGTAACAAATCACAGACTGGCTGGCTTGAAACAACAAAGATTTATTTTCTCGCAGCTCTGGAGGCTGTAAGTTTGAAACCAAGGTGATGGCGGGGCTGTGTTCCCTCCAGAGGCTCTAGGGGTGATTCTTCCTCTGACTTCCAGCCTCCAGGGAAGGCATTCCCTGGCTCTGGTCTCCATCACTCCACTCTTTACCTGTCTTCTCTATGTGTCTCTTCACGTGGCATCAAATTTAGGGCCCACACAAATCATCCAGGAATATCTTATCTTGAGATCCTTCATTTAATTACATCTGCAAAGACCTTTTATCTAAATGAGGCCACACTCACAGGTTCCAGGGATGAGGATATGTATATCTTTTGCTGGAGGGCAGGTGGCTTCCCAGGTGGCTCAGTGGTACAGAATCCACCTGCCAATGCAGGAGATTCAGGAGTCATGGGTTTGATCCCTGTCTCAGGAAGATCCCCTGGATGAGGAAATGGCAACCCATTCTAGTATTCTTGTCTGGAGAATCCCATGGACAGAGGAGCCTGGTGGGCTATAGTCCATGGGGTCACAAAGAGCTGGACACAACTGAGTATGCATACACATCTTTTGGGGACCACCATTCAGGCCACGACAGGTAGCTTGCAAACCATTTTAGTGTTTTCTGAACACTATTACTATTATTTCTATTACGAGGGGACCAGTAGGTCTCAAAGTGCATGCTAATGTTATGGACAGGTGATGGAAGCCTGGGGAGTAAGAACACACCATCACTGAGCACCTACTACACATCAGACAGTGTCTGCTTTCCACCATTAATCTCACTTTATCCTCACACCAACTCAGCCAGTATTCCTGCCACCTTCCGCAGATGGGGAACTGGAGGCTCAGACCCTGGGAATTTGGCCAGGGTCACTCACAGAATAAAGGGTGGAGGTGGCATTTGAACAGAGGCAGGCTCTGATTCCACTGGCAATGCAAGTAACCACTATTATCACCAACCATGGCAATCCACATCCTCCTGTCACACTGGCCAGAAGCCCCGGCTCTTCCTTCTTCCCCAGGGTTCCCATTAAAGACGTCATCCTGATGTTAACCCTGCACAGTTCTCAGATCCACAGCCATCTCTCTATCCCTGCATGATGCACCGTTCAGCCCTACATCACCTCACTCCTGGACCACGGCCCAAGTCCGCCCTAATGACTCTCTGGACCTTGGGTATTTCCCAACTCTCTGCTCATTAGATTCATCCTCCTCTCAGCAACTATGAATTTAGGAAAACTGCATTCCAGTCACGTTGGTCCAAATTCAACCTCCTTAATTGTATGTACTGGAGAAGACTCTTGAGAGTTCTATAGACAGCAAGATCAAACCAGTCAATCCTAAAGGAAATCAACCCTGAATATTCATTAGAAGGGCTGATGCTGAAGCTGAAGCTCCAATACTGTGGCCACCTGATGCAAAGAGCTGATTCGCTGGAAAAGACCCTGATGCTGGGAAAGATTGAAGGCAGGAGGAGAAGGGATGACTGAGGATGAGATGGTTGGATGGCATCACTGACTCAACGAACATGACCATGAGTTGGAGCAAACTCCAGGAGACAGTGAAGGACAGGGAAGCCTAGCGTGCTACAGGCCAGCAGTTGTAAGAGTCAGACATGACTGAGCAACTGAACAACAATTGCATGTACAGTATGGACCACGACCTTCCGGCCCCTGCCTCCCTTTTCAGCCTCACCTCACACCTCTCCCTCAGTCACATGGCAAGTTCCCCTAGCACTGATGTGCTTGTAGCTCCCCGCCTACAACATGCTGTTTGCACCTCAGGGCCTTTGCACATGTGAGTCTCCCTGCCTGGAAGATCATTCCTATCCTAGCCTCTCTGTCCCAGCTTCCAGCCTGCATACC